GGTGCTTACCTTGTAGGCAACTGATTTTAGTTCAATCCTGTCAACCCATAGGTTCCCCTAACCTTCCAGGAGTGATCCCTGAGTGCAGAGCCCTGAGCATCATGGGCTTTGTCCCCCAAACAAAAACAAACAAGATTTCTAGGAGAACCACACCATTGGATTAGGAGTAGGAGGAGTGGGAAGATAAACGGCCTTAACAGGTTGGGGTGAGGCACTCTCTTTGGTGTTAGGAGTTTGGGTTGGCATCAGAGGTAAATCTGGGTGCTTTTGTCTCTAGGAAGGAATGACACCCACCTATTTGAAAGTGAGTGAATCAGGGACAAGGAATATGTGAACTCAGTGGTGTAGCACGTCTTGGTGTAGCACGTCTTGGCTGTGTAAGGTCCTCGACCTGATCCCCAGCTTCCTTTTCCACACCCGCCTCCTCCCCAGTATAAATTGGCATTAGATGGATTTGCAAATAAGATGCAATAAGGTGAAGAAAGGTTTTGCCCCTTTCTCCACTGAGCCTTGTTGGGGTGCCCTGGGAGGGGGTCTGAGGGGAAGCATAGGCCTCTACCTTTGGAACTCCCAGATATGGGGAGGGGACATATTTGTCATATAAGTGACCACCTGGTAAGGTAAGACAGAATAGAGGCCAATTGAAAAAGGGGTCTAGCTGTTCTGCATTTGTTGAGGGTCTGGTTGGGTGGTCCCTGAGGCTGCCAATACAGTAAGTCTTGACAGTTGTTTAAATGGTAGTGTTAAGTCTTGGTTTAAAAAGTAAAATTGAAAGGGGGTAAAATAAAATAAAACCAGTAAAGGGGCTGGAGCAATAGCACAGCGGGTAGGGCATTTGCCTTGCACGCGGCCGACCCAGGTTCGATTTCCAGCTTCCCATATGATCCCCTGAGCACCACCAGGAGTAATTCCTGAGTGTATGAGCCAGGAGTAACCCCTGTGCAATGCCGGGTGTGACCCAAAAGCAAAAAAAAAAAAAAAACCCACAAACAAAAAAAAAACCAGTAAAGTGGGTCTTTCCATTTGCTTATAAATGAATAAATTAAGTGGCAGGCTCAGGGGCATGAAGGGACCCTGCATTACCATCTGACGTGATAAAGTAAGGTAGTCATGGGGTACACTCGGACTATTGGCCAGGAGGGGGCGCAGAGTGGAGTGCTGATCACTCAGAATCAGAGACTGACAGAGCTGCAGTGAGACCTTATAGATTTGTTTGTTTGGTTGGTTTGGGGGCCATACCTGGCGATGTTCAGGGCTGACTTTTGTCTTTGCGCTCAGGAATCACTCCTGGTGGGGCTGAGGGACTCTGTATGGGTCTTGGGGATTGCACCCAGGTGAGCCGCATACCAGGCATGTGCAGAACCTGCTGTACTAGCACTCAGGCCCTAACTTGATTTTTGTTTGTCTGTTTTGGGGTCACACCTGGCGGTGCTCAGGGCTTATTTCTGGCTCTCAGGGATCACTCCTGGTGGACTTTGGGGACCATTTGGAGTGCTGAGGATTGAACCTGGGTTGGCCATGTACAAGGCAAATGTTCTGCTTGTGGTATTATTGGTCTGGGCCCCTAATTTTTTGTTTTTTTGTAGGAGAACACTCACGGACTGACTACTCTTTTTGTTTCTGGTGGTGCAGTGGATTGAACTCAGGGCCTCACACAAGCTGTGTGCTCTCTGCCTTCTCCACCCCTCTCAGTTAGTCCAGGCCAGCCACAGAGCACTCAGTCCAAGGCTCCTGGCTCCTTAACTCCTCTAAGGAGAGACAGTAACTTGTATTTAATTATTTAAGTCTCTCTTTTTTACTTCAAGGGAAAAAATTGTCAAGGCTGAAGAGATAGTACAATAGAGTTTCAGGGCGTGGAGCCCACCCAGTTTCAGTCCCCAGTACTTCGTATGGTCCTTCAGGCACTGCCAGAAGCCTTCCCTGAGTGCAGAGCCAGGAGTATAAAAAGGAAAAATATAGCATAAAAGCCATGACAAACAGGCAGAGAAAGGTGGCTCTGTAATCCTGTTTTCTCATGATGTAGATACAAACTGTTGTCACTTTGGGTTTGGTTTGGGGGCCACACCCAATGGTGCTCAGGGCTGACTCCTGGCTCTGTGCCTTGGGATGACTCCTGGTAGTGCTCAGGGGACCCAATGCAGTGCTGGAGATTGAACCTGGGTCAGACATTGCAAAGCAAGGGCCTTAATCCCTGTACTATCTCTCTGGCCCCTCACTTTGTTTCTGTTGTGGGGGAAACACGCAGTGTTGCTCAGGGGCTATTCCCAGCTCACTGCCGGGGATGAGGATGGGAATTGCTCTTGGCGGTGCTCAGGGTTTGCTCCTGGTGCTGTTGGGGGACCATGCAGGGTCGGGAATTGAAGCTGAGGCTCCCACATGCACTCCAGTTTCACGAGCTCTCTGGCCCTGTCCCTTAAGAAAACAGATCTGAAGAATTGCGCCGATTCCCTGCAGTGCGGCCCTCAGCAGGTCAGGAAGCTGAGCGCCCAGACCCAGGCATGGGTCAGCCAAGCCCACACTCGGCCACTGCTGCCGTGGCCCTCAGAAGCATATTCTGGCCCTCTGGCTAGTTCTTGCCAGCAGTTTCAGGTGGAGGGAGAGTGTGCAGGGGGGCTCTGAGCCGACCACTGACCAGTGCCTTCCCCTGTGTTGCCTTTTCCAGGTGGAGGGCAAGAGCTCCATCATCCTGACCTTCAGACAGCTGATGGCCGAAGAGGGGCCATGGGGCCTCATGAAGGGCCTCTCGGCCAGAATCATCTCAGCCACGCCCTCCACCATTGTCATTGTGGTGGGCTATGAGAGCCTCAAGAAACTCAGTCTCCGCCCGGAGCTGGTGGACTCGAGGCACTGGTAACATGGTGGGGAGAAGCCTGCCGTTTCCCACTGCACGGGGTTGGGGCAGAGTGGGGAGGAACAGGTCCTCTCCCGGTGTCCCCCCCAGCCTCTCCCACCCCACAGCCCTATCCTGGGCCGGGTGGCCTGTCTGGGACAGTGACAGAGACTTGGAACCGCCCTTGCAGAAGAGGCTCCCTACACTGGGTCCCCTGCTCCCACCATTTTTAACTCTCTTGCCAAACTTCCCTCACATAGTCCAGCCCGAAGGACATCCGTGTGCCCCTCGGCCCCTGCCCCCGTGCTCCCTGCTTGCCCCGTGGCTTCCGCCTCCACCTGTGTCCTTGTGCTCCTGAGAGCTGTACATAGAGCTTGCTGGGCGCCCCACGTTCTGAGCCACTGCTGTAGCCCCTTCCGGTCTCAGCTCTTAGACTGGCTTATTTGTATCTGGGGTGGAGGTGCCCTACCAGACTACCCATTGGGGACAGGGTGGGGGGTAGGGGGCCACACAGACCAAACCCCGTTCCCCCTCATCCTCTCTGTAGAGTCCTTAGGTTGGGGAGAAACGTTGATGCTCTCTTGTGAGGTGTATTGTTTATCATCTGTGAACCAGACTAGTCATTTCCTGTTCAAGCCCTAGTCCCGCAGTCAGACATGTGGGAAAACGTAGTGTGGACCTCGAGTCCACTTCCTTGTCCTTTCCACGTCAACCTTATTGGCCCAACAGCCCTAGGACAGTAGCAGCCATTGGCTTCTTGGCCCAGACTCGTAGATGAGACCGTCCGGGACACACTGGACTTGGGAGCACAGTGAACGGTTGAGAGAGAAGATGGACTAAACAGTGATAGGAGAGGGTCTGTGTGCCGCAGAACGAGGCCCCAGGCCCAGGTTCTGAGCAGCGCTCACCAGCTGGTGGGCACCCCAGCCCTTGGACTTCTGGAAGCATGTTCTCATGAGGGGATCCCTGAGAAATGGCTCCACTGGAGGAACGCCTGTCTGGAAGAGAGCCGAGGGGCTCCAGAAGCCATGGGACACAGGACCAGAGCATTTACCAGCATCAAACTGCCGAGGTTCTCTGCTAAAGCTCCTGGGAGCCAGATGACAACCCCCCACCCCCACCCCCAAGCCTGTGTTGCAGAGAGCTGGGATCAGCAAGTGGAGTCGCAAGGCATGGCAGACCGCGAAATACTGGGCCGAGGCCATCCTTCCAGTCTTATTGGTCCCAGCCTCTGGGGAAGGCCGCGGTGCCAATGTGAAAGGTGCTCAGCTCCCCGAAGCCTTGATTCTTCCTGTGGTTGCCCGACATTCTGTCACCCCAGCCAGATGAGAAGCCAAAACCCGTATTTCTCTGCTTTTCACCACTACCACCGCCCGTCTGGGTCCTGCATCCTTGGGGGGGGGGGGGTCATTTTTCCTTTCTCTCATTTTGTTCCTTCTTGCACCTTATTAAGAGTCCTCCCATTTTTCTCCATAAATGCTCAAACCCCGTTCCCCCTCATCCTCTTTGTAGAGGAATCTTCCTACGCCATCCCACCCCCAAGAACCACCATGTCACAGAAGCACCTGCCCCCCACTCCCAAGCTCCTGCCCGTGCCATGAGATGGGACCCACCGGCTTGGCTTCAGTCTGCCTGTCGGGGCAAGGGGGGGGGAGCGGGGGCCCGCCGGGGAGTTGGGGGTTCTCCCCCCAGACTCGGCTCTTGGACGGTATTTTTCAGCTTCCCGCCCCACATTTTCCACCCTCCCTTGGGCTTCCGTTTTCCCAGGACCATAGATTGTACCAGCTGGAATTTTTAGCCCAAACTGGAGTATCTTGCGTGAAAAGCTCGGTAGCCAAGCAGCCTGGCGGGAGTCACGGAGGCCCGGGGAAACGAACATGCGGACGCAGTTAGCCTTTGATAAGAGGGCTCGTGAATGGTAACGGCGAACTTTCACTGTCGGCACTGTGCAAAGTCTCTGAAATGTAATTAAAAGTTTTTATGGAGCCCCTGTGCTGTGGTTTGCGCGTATTCCCTCGGGTGCAAAGTCGGTTCACGGAGGCTACGGCGCGGCTCGCGAAGGCTTTCCCCGCCTCCCGGCGGAGGGCAGCTCAGTGACAGACAGGCCGCTGCTTCCAATCGGAGGCGCCCGGCCCCGCGGGCGGCCAACCCGGTGCGCCGGTGGGCGGGGCGAGCGGACCAGCTCAATTTGGCGGTTCGACTTCAACATGGCCGAGGCGAGTAACGTCAGTGCAGGCGGCTGCTGTGAGGTAGAGGCTCCCGAGGGTGAAGCCTCGGGATCGGTGCCCGCCAGCCCAGCCCTTTCGAGGGTGAAGCTCCTGGACACCATGGTGGACACTTTCCTCCAGAAGCTGGTCGCCGCAGGGAGGTAAGATGGAGGAAGTGCAGCTGTGGGCAAATCCCGAAGTTCGGCTAGGGCGGGCGGGCCGGATTTGTCCCGCCAAAGTCTCGATCCCGCGAGACCGGGGGGGGGCGTGACCTGGTGTGGTCACGTGGGCCCCGGCCCGCGACCTAGTGCGCCTTAGCTACTAGTTTTCTCCGGGCTTATGATTGACAGCGAATGCACAGGTTTAGGGGTTCGATCGATGACCAGGTCGGGACCCAGAGTCACGTGGGCAGGACAGTCCGGCCTCCTCGCTGGCTCGGCTGCAGCTCGCAACCGCGGCACGGGTGGTTTTGCGAATTCAGCGAGGAAAAATACTCTCCGGCGCCTCCAAGCGTAATTTGCTGTGGGAAAGCGAATTCGCCGGGAGGACCAAGTGTATGACGGTAACTCTTGCTGCCTTGGTTTTGATTGTGTATGGCCCTGACGCATCGGAGGAAAGAGTTTCCCTCACCATTGCACTTAGCACTGCAGTTAGTGCTGAAACTGACACGCTTTACAGAACTCAGCGTTCCCCACCCTGACCCTGTCACCCAGACCACTATCCATAGACTCATAAAGACTCCCGGAATCGTTCTCTCCTGGTCTTATGAATGATTTTATTTGGGTTTGGGGCCAAGTAGGGCTCCCCTCAGCACTGCGCCTCCTGCATGCAGGCACTTCAGTCCTTTGAGCTCTGTTCTCTCTCCTGCCAGGCACATCCAGCAGTGCCCATGGCTTACTCCTGACTCTGCTCATGGAACATTTCTGGTGGGGTTCAGGAGGCCCTAGGTGATGCCAGGATCGAACCCAGGCTGGGTACATGGAAGGCAAATGCCTTTCCACCTGTACCAACTCTCCGGCCCAGTTCTTAATGAAGCAGAGTGGCAGTCTAGGAGGTTGGTAAGACGTGGAGAGCTTAAATTCTTGTCTCAGTGTCTCTTTCTCCAGACACTCAGCTTTCTCTTGATTACGGGCCTCTCTGCGGCCAGGGTCAGGCCCTGCACGCCCCCTGGTGGACAGTGTGAGATCGCCGTCCCCTCTGCTAGCGGTGGCCTTACATGGCTGGTGTCCTTATGTGGTGCCCTTCATGTTTATCCGCACTGATCACAATCACGATCATCCTGTTGTTCGTCGATTGCCTCGAGCAGACCCCAGTAACGTCTCCTTCGTCCTAGCCCAGAGATTTTATAGTGCCATATTCAAGGCTCTTTCAGGGTTAGGAGAATGAGACCCATCATTGTTACCGGTATTAAGCATATTGGGTACACCATGGGGAGTTTGCCAGACTCTGCCGTGTGGGCAGGTCACATTCGGTAGCCTGCCAGGTTGTCCAAAGTAAGAATGAGATAATAAGATGTCGTTTCCAGGAGCTGGGTTTTATAGTCTCTGGGTCTTGGCCGTTGATGGGATTACCTGGCGCCAGGGGCAGTTGGTGGGTGTGACCCCTGCCTACTGGAAGATGGAGGATCTGGGTGGAGGATGCTCAGCCCTGATCCGAGCAGGCTTGGAGATCTCAGCCTGCCTTTGTTCCTCTGCCGGTGCCTTCATGCATGTGGAGAGTGGTCCACACTGATAGCAAAGCATTTTCAGGTTGATTCCTTTTTTTGGGGAGGGGTCACAGCTGGCAATACACAGGAGTTACTCCTGGCTCTGCACTCAGAAATTACCCCTGGCGGTGGGATGTTGGGAGTCGAACCCAGTCGACTGCATACAAGGCAAATGCCTTACTCGCTGTGCTATTGCTCCAGCCCCTCAGGTTGATTCTGAGCTTAAAGATTTTTAAGTTAATTAAAATAATTTGGGGAATGGGCCAGAGTGGTAGTACAGCAGGTGGGGCATTTGCCTTGCAGGCGGCCAACTGGGGTTCAATCCTTGACACCCTGTATGGTCCCCTGAGCTTTCCAGGAGTGATCCCTGAACTCAGAGCCAGGAGTAAGCTCTGAGCACCAATGGGTGTGAACCAAAAACCAACAGATAAATGTTTCATTTGGGGGATGTCACTCCTGGACGGTCAGGAGGCCAGGCAGTGCTGGGGATGGAACTAAGGGCCTAACATATCACATGATGGTAGGTGCTGAACCACTTGAACTGCACCCCCAATTGTGAAGTTGTTGTTGTTGTTATTATTATTATTAATATTTTGTTGTCTTGCGGCCACCCTAGGGGTGCTCAGGGCTTACTCCTGGCTCTGCTTGAGGATCACTCCTGGTGGGACTTGGAGGAACCATATGGAATGCCAGGGATTAAACCTGGTCAGTTGTGTGCAAGGCAGGTACTGTACTTGCTAAACTACTGCTCTATCACTAAAGTTACTTGGTTTGTTTTGTTTTGGGGTCACACCTGGTGATGCTCAGGGGTGGGTTACTTCTGGCTCTGTAATCAGGAATCACTCTTGATGGTGCTCAAAGGACTATATGAATGCTGGAGATAGAGCCCGGGTTGGCCAAGTGTAAGGCAAATGCCCTACCTGCTGTACTATCACTCCAGCCCTGAAAGCTAATTTTTTTTTGTTTTCATTTTGTTTGGACATACCCAGCAATGCTTAGGGGTTACTCCTGGCTCTGTGTTCGGGGCTGTTCCCAGGATTGCTCAGGAAACCATGTGGTGGCAGGGCAGGAACCTGGGCCTCCTGCATACAGAGCCTGTGCTCAGCCCATTGGGCTCTCTCTGGCCCTGAAGTTAAGTATTTACAGTTAAACATATGGCTAAACAGTGTAGTGTGCAAGGCAAGCTTGCCTTGCACCTGGCCAACCTGGGTTCAGTCCCAGCCCCAGGAGTAATGAGCACAGAAGCCAAGAGCCCGGAGTAAGCCCTGAGTGCAGCTGGGTGTCGCCCCCCCCACCCCCCCACCCCCCCCCCCCCGCCAAGAAATCACTTGATCACTTGACATCTCGTTACTCATCAATTTGCTTAAGCAGGCGCCAGTAACGTCTCCATTCGTCCCTGTCACGTGCTAGTGTAGCCCAGTGGTGTCTGCTAGTTCTAGGAACACGAAGAGCCTCAAACTGATCGTTCAGGGTCTTGATGAAGAAGTCTGACCATCTTGTAGGTGGGCGGCCATGCAATCTTTTGATGTCCCGTGAAATCCAGTCAGTAATGGCTCTAGTCCAGAGGTCGTCTCCAAATCTCATTACGTGTCCAGCCCATCTGACTTTCGATGCCTTGGCAAACGAGACAGCATCCTTGATTTTTGACTGTCCACGGAGGTCGGAACTCTGGATTCTTTCTCTCATTTGAGTGAAGCGTGATACTCCAAGCATAGCTCTTTTGATTCCTCTTTGGGAGACCCGAATAGCGTTCTCATCCTGTTTTCCTAGGGCCCAGGTCTCTGAGCCGTATGTTAATATAGGAAGAACAGTGGAATCGAAGAGATGTGCCAGGAGTCGGAGGTTCTTCGTCCTCTTAGCTATTTCTTTGATGCTCTTGAAGACATTCCAAGCCGCTCTCTTCCTCCTGCGCAACTCAGGTGCCAGGTCATTCGTCATGTTGACTTCTCGACCTAGGTACACTGTTGCATTCGGAGATGTTCGTTCTGTTGAGTGTGAATGGAACGTCAGGAATGAGATCGTTTCTCATAAACATTGTCTTCATGAGATTCAGCTGTAGTCTGACCTTTGCACACTCACGGTCGAAGTCGGCCAGCATTTGTGCCGCTTGGCTAATGTTTGGTGTTACTAGAACGATGTCATCAGCGAAGCAGAGGTGGTGTAGTTGCCGACCGTCTATCTTCACTCCCATTCCTTCCTACTCCGGTTGTCACATGACGTTCTCGAGGATGGCACTGAAGAGTTTCGATGAAATGGTATCACCCTGCTGAACCCCTCTCTTGACATGGATGATCACTTCAAAAAATATAATAATAATATAAAGTTAAACATATATAATGACTCACAGTGAGTTGGGGGTTTTTTCAGGAAGGACACCTGGCCATGCTCAGGGCTTTCCCCTGACCCTATGCTCAGGGATCACTCATTGCAGGGCTTGGGGCATCATATGTAGTGCCAGAGCATTGAACTAGGGTTGGCCGTGTGCACGGCAAGTGTCTGAACCCCTGTCCTATCTCTCCAGTCTGTAGAGTAAGTTTTTCAGTGCAGTAAATGAGATAATTTTCCAATAAATTTAAAAACAGTGGAGGGTCAGGAATGTGGCTCCAGCAAATGGATATTTTTTTTTTGGCTTTGGGTCACACCTAGCAGTGCTGAGTAAGTTATTCCTGGCTCTGTGCTCAGGGTTTGCTCCCAACCATGCTTGGGGGTGCACGCAGTGCTGGGGAGGCTACGCCTGCGCCCAGCCCCTGGAGCCCTGTCTCTGACCTGGAACAGCCTTTAATGGCATCTGGATGATCAGCTGGCTCCCCGCTGAACTCACCATCCATGTGAGTGAATATTCATGTCCTGGCCCTTTTATTTGCACAGCGTGTCAGCCTGTGGGGTGCCCTGGGGTGAGGACCCACTTCCCTCTCGTCCCACTCACATTGTCCTTCAATCCTGCATTTCCACTTTCAGTCGGCATTTCCACTTGTGGACTCCTGCAAGGAGGCCTGTTTCTGGGTTCTTCATGTGCTGTGAATTCCCCGGGCCCCAAAGGGGACACCTGCAGAGGTCACAGCCTATACTGCCCCACGCGGTCCTGGACCTGCGCCACCACCAGCTGCCTGGAATTGAGGGGAGATGTGTCCGGCCCCTTGGATGCCCCTGGGCTGGGAGGAGGCCCAGGATCTCCCTCGACCAAACCCGTGTCAGACCACAATGACCTGCTTGAATGCCAGCCTCCGGCGCGGCCGCCCGCATTCCCCCCACTACCACCCCAAGCCGCAGACTGTGTGGCTCTCAGAGCCAGCACCACAGCAGATGTCTGCGGTTGTGCTGAGGGGGCAGAAGACACCCCCATCCCTGTGCTGTGCTTTTGGGGCCTCCCTGGAGTCGCAGATGTGTCTGAATACTGAAGATGTGCTGGCTGATGCTGCCGGTGTCACCCCACCACCCAGCGCAGGCAGTCAGGAACCAAGAGCCCAGACCCTCCGAGTGAAGCCCTGGCCCACGGTGGGTGCTCGTTTCCGACAGTCTTACGTGTGCCTTCTCAGAGCCAGTCTGGAATGGAAGGGAAATGGCAGTCGTATCCGTTTGGAAGGGCAGAGGGAAGCCCATGGATGATGATTGGGAGGGCTTAGGTGTGGCATGTGCCTTCTCTTGGGGTAATCTATTCTCAGGGTATATCGTTGAGCTGTCAGGAATGTCCCCGATTACTGACCAGCACACGGCTTACCTGCTCTTCTCATCAACCCCGGGGAGCTCTCACTCGTTACCTGTTCTCAAGTCTCACGGCCTGGGTCCAGAGAAGTGACTCAGTGGTAGAGCACTCACTGTGCATGTGAGAGATCTTGCATTTGAAGCCCCATACTGCAAAAATAAACGAACATGGATTGGGGGGTCAGTGGGGTAGGATGGGGTGAAGGTGCTTGCCTCGCACGTGGGCCACCCCAGATTCTGTCACCGGCATTGCTTTGTGTCCCTGATTCTTGTAGGGAGTGATCCCTGGGCATAGCTGGATGTAACACAGAAGAAAGCAGAAATAAATAAATAAATAAATAAATGGATTAGCAGAAAAATATGGGTTGGGGTTTGGGAAGGCCTAGGGAACTAGGAGGATGAGGGCCCCAGCACTGATTCCCCAGATGGGTATGGGGGTCGGTCTGACCATCAGCTTGTAAGTACCTGATTTCACCTGACCTGCTGCCAGCCCACAGGGATGCAGAGAGAGAGAGAAAGAGAGAGAGGGAGGGAGGGAGAAAGGGAGGAAGGGGAGAGGGAGGAGAGAGACCCTCCCTCAGGCCTGCAGAGAAGCCTCCATATCCGCATCCCCAGCTGGAAGATGGAGTAGCCAGGACAGAATGTGGTGTGGGGGGAGGGGTGGCAGCAGAAAGCTGGGCAAGAAGACAAGGGGAAGTGGACACCCAGGGAGGGTGTGGTGAGGGATTGTGTTATGCACAAAACCCTGTCATTAACAATGTTGTAAACCCCCAGTGCCTAAAATAGAATGCAAAAAAAATGTTTTTAGATGAATAGATTTTAAAATGATACAAAGAAGACGAGAATGGCAAGTAAATGGTCCAGAGTTCAGCTGTGTCCCCCCCCCCCCCCCCCGTGACAGTGACTCTTGTCTCCCACCTAGAGGAAGGCACCTCAGCCGCTGCCCTGCCCACCCCTCATTGCATTCACTTATTTTCTCCCGAATTCAGAAGAGATTTTTATTTACGGGGATAGAAGGAAAAAGAAAGGGGCAGAAAGCCCCCAGGATTAGAGAAAGGGTGTCTCTCTGGGGCCTGAGCGATGACAGCGTGGGAGGCACTTGCTTTGCAACGGTTGACCCAGGTTCAATCCCCGGGATCCCATATGGTCCCCCAAGCACCACCAGGAGTAATTCATGAGTGCAGAGCCAGGAGTAGTAACGCCTGAGCATTGCTGGGTGTGACCACCTCTGCCCCTCCTCCCCCCTCCACAAAAAAAAGAAGAAAAGATCTCTCTCAAAAAAAAATGAAAAAGATCTCTTTTTTTTTCTTTTTGGGTCACACCTGGAGATGCACAGGGGTTACTCCTGGCTTATGCACTCAGGAGTTACTCCTGGCGGTGCTCAGGGGACCATTTGGGGTGCTGGGAATTGAACTTGGGTTGGCTGCGTGCAAGGCAAACACCCAACCTGCTGTGCTATTGCTCCAGCTCCAAGAAAAGATCTCTTAAGCAGAGATCGTTAGACCTGGGGTTAAGTGGCTTGACTGGGAGGAAGCCAGTATTCCCCCTCCAGATCAGAGCCCCAGGACATGGCTCCAGGTCAGAGCTCCCAGCCGGGGAAGATGACACCTTGCTCCTGGCCCTTTCTGCTCTGCGAGCACAGAGGCTGCCTGGATAGGCCTGAGTCCTGTGTCCTTGGAATGGCCTGCTTGCCTGCTGGGTGTCTGTCTTCTCTTCCCTTCCCTTCTCTTCCCAGAGGCCCTGCACACTGGGCATTGGCTTTCTGGGGAACACCGGCTCTAGCTTCAGTGCTCCACTGTGGCCTGGGGTCCCAGGTAGCAGATCAGTGGCTCAAGAAAGTGAATTTCTGGCCTCAGCCGACAGGGCAGGCACATGCCACTGCACTGTTCCTCCAGTCCCCTTGCAGCTCTTTGGCTTCATTTTTTTAATTTTTAAAAAGCTTTTGGAGGGCTGGAGCGATAGTATAGCGAATAGGGTGTACTGTACACAAATGGCCCGGCTTCGATCCCTGGCACCCCATATGGTCCCCCTAACACTCCCAGGAGTAATTACTGAGTGCTGAGCCAGGAGGAGGCCTTGAGAGCACTGTTAGAAACCTAGCAGTGCTGGGCATCAAAGCCAGGACCTTCATCGAAGCATGTCGGGGCCCATATGTTCGGTAAGTGCCTGGGCCTGCTGCTGAGCTCACCCCTGTTCGTGAGCTCCTGGTGGGAGGAAGGAAAGTGCCCTTGAGGCCCTGGGCCTGGCCTCCAGCCCAGTAGGGGGCAGGGATGACAGAGTCCACCACATGTGGTCCCCGCACCAGCACGTTAGAAACTGTTAGGCCAGAGCAATAGTCCAGTGGGTAAAGTGTTCGCCTTGCACTCGGCCAACCTGGTTTTGATCCCTGACACCCCATATGGTTGCCCGAGCACTGCCAGGAGTTAATACTTGAGTGCAGAGCCAAGAGTAACTCTTGAGCACCACTGGGTGGAGCCCCACCCAAATAAAATAAAACAAATTTTTAAAAAATGCTGTTGCTGGAGTGACAGTACAGTGGGTGGCAGCACACCATATGGTCCCCTGAGCCTCGCCAGGAGAGGCTCCTGAGCTCAGAGCCAGGAGTAAGTCCTGAGCACCGCTGGGTGTGGCCCAGAAAAGAAAGACTGAAACCGGGTGTGGTGCCACCATCTTCGGAGTTGTGGCCAGCCCAAGTCAGGGTGCCCCGGGCAAGTGCCTGAGCCCCCAACTGCCTGGCTTCTCTCCCCTCCAGCTACCAGCGGTTCACCGAGTGCTTCAAGCGCTTCTCACAGCTGCAGTCGGAGATGTCGCAGCGAATCTATGACAAGTTTGTGACCCAGTTGCAGACGTCGATTCTGGTGAGTGGAATCAGCTGCTGCAGATTAGGGGCTCACCTCTGGATTCAGACCTGAAGGCGGGGGACCCTTCTGGGCCCCTTTCTGTGGGCAGTGATCATCACCCCTCCCTTCCCAAAGATACGGCCCCTGGCGTGTCCCCTCCCTGCTATCCTAATTATAAGTGTACAGGTCGCCGACGCCCTGGGGTCTTCCCCTGCTGTGTGTCTCTGCGGCCTGCAGCAGAGCTGCACACAGGGGTGCACTCTGGAACTGCACCTCTCAGAGGCACAGCAGGGGCGAATCTCATGCCCTGTGGTCATGCGTCATGGGCATCAGCATGTGCATCCCGCAGCTGCAGAGGGCTACGCTGCGGGAGGACTGGCCAGCCTCCTGTTCTGAGGCCTCACTTTTGTTTCCCGCCTTCGTGCTGAGAGTCACTGCTGAGAAGTTGGAATGTTTATATTCCAAGGGGGCGGACAGGAGCCCAGGGAGTTGGCAAATTGGGCTGAGCTCAGACTGTGCATGCTGGAGGCCTGAGTTTGATCCCCTGCCGCCTCCCCTCAGTGCTCCCAACCTCCAGCAACTGCTGGTGTAGCCCCCAAACAGTAGTAACAACAAAAAGACACAGGACAAGAATCATCGCGCCACACGTGCTCTCGGCAGTTTTCAGCAGGTTCCTGCTGGGCTTTTTATGGCTCTTTCTTCCTTCCTCTTCAGGAGGAAATTGCAGAAATCAAGGCCGAGGGGAACCTGGAAGCTGTGTTGAATGCCCTGGATGCACTTGTGGAGGAAGGCAAAGATCGCCAGGAACCAGCCTGGTGAGAAGGGGCCCCTCAGAAGGGCTGACCCCATACAGGACCCGCTTAGGAAATGAGCCCTTTGGTTGTGGGGGAAGCCAGCACGAGTGTCCATGTAGGGGCAGGCAGTGAGGGGCTTGCGACCAACTGCGAGGAGTTGTCCAGTTGAGGGTCGAGTCCGACCGAGCCTGGGGAAGCAGAGTGGAAGTGTCTGGAATCTTCTGTTGGTGGGGCCACCCCATGCCCAGATTTTGTGCACTGATTCCTTCAGCCTACCTTTAGGGACACCTAAAGGACCACCTGACCCTGCTTTAGACGCCAAGACCCCCACAGTAGACAAGACACAAGCTGTGTGCCAAGCAGGATGAGAAGGGCGGAGGAGACATGGGGCAGGGGTCCCAGAAAGGGAGGTCTGAGCCTTTGTCTCCTGCTGCCCCTCTGAGGAGGGTACTGGGCCCGAGGAAGGGGCCGCTCCTTTTCTGTGCATTCCTGTATGTATGGTTTTATGCACTTGACCTTGGTACCTGAGAAAGGAAGTTTTGAGGTCATGCAGGAAGCCCTGATTTCAGTCCACAGCATCTCACAGTTGTCCCCTGGGCTCCTTAAGCACTGCCAGGGACACCCCCCCAAAAAAAAAAAAATAATAATTGTCCCTGTTGCTGCTGCTCCCGTGATGGAGCTTGCACACCTGGGGACTCGCCGGGTCGTACTTCCTAGCCCTGGCCCCCACTTTTGTTTTTGCAGTACCTGTGCTTGAACACGGCCTCCCGTGTGTAAGGCGAGTGCGTCCCACTGCGCCCCTTCAGTGTTGCGTGTTGCTGCCAGGAGCCGCCCCGTTCACTGTGGCCTGCAGGGGGCAGTGGATCTCCAGCGCCCCAGAGAGCAGCCCTGGCAGCACTGACGTGCTGCAGCTCGCTCAGCGGCTCCAGGGATCCAACTCACAGCTCTAGCCAGAAAACAATCTCCCCAGCACTCCCCAGGAGAAAAAAAAAGGCCTTTTTTGTGGTTCTGGGATTGGCCCCACGTCTCATGCATGTCAGGCCTGTACTTTACTTTTAATAACATGTTCCACTCCTGGGGGGAAAAATTTTTTTTTTAGTGTTTTGGATCACACCTGGTGATGCTCAGGGGCAACTCCTGGCTCTGCACTCAGGAATTACTCCCAGGGGTCCTCAGGGGACCATATAGGATGCCAGTGATAAAACCGCATGCAAGGCAAACCCCTACCTGCTGTGCTATTGCTCTGCCCACCCCCACCCCAAAACAAAAGAGACTTTTTTTTTTTAAATAGATTTTCTTCCCCCCATGGTTTTGGAGCCACACCAGGCACTGCTGAGGGGCTTCTTCCCGTTCAGTGCTGGGTTTCCTTGGGCAGCTGTATGATGTTGGGGATCAAACCTGGGCATCTTACATGCAAAGCCTGTGCTCTAGCCCAATGGCCTCTCTGGCCTGACAAAAATAGTTTTAAAAAGGACCTATAGGAGCAAAAGCGAGAGAGCGAGTACAACTAGTAGGATGCTTACTTTGCAGCTAGCCTGGGTTTGATCCCTGCACCATGTATGATCCCTGAGCCCCTCCAGAAGTGATCCCTCTGTGCAGAGCTTGGAGTAAGCCTGGAGCACTGCTGGGTGTGGCCCCCCAAAAGCCTAAAGTAATAAACGGAGAGACAGTTTAGTGGGCTGACTCTTGCTTTGTACGCAGGAGGCTAGGTTTGACCCTCAGCACCACAGGGTCTCTTAAGTACCACCATATGTGCCCCCCTCCCCAACCAAAAAAAAAAAAAAAGAAAAATAAAGATCCAGTGGCCTTCAGTGCCCATCGGAGGTGACTTGTCTCCTTATTCTGGGCACGTGGGATCCCATTTTGCCCACTGCCCCTCCTTTCCTTCCTCATCTTTCCTAACTAGCCAACATCTCAGATCTCAGGCAGCAGTGCTCTTTGGGGGCTCTTGTCCTGCTCCCTCGCCCAGCACTCAGCTCAGTCTGAACCACCTGGTCACAGCAGGGCTGGAGCGTGCCCCCTCGCCCACTCATGCTGGGCTTGTGCGTCTGGCTGGGAAGGCCGAAGAGATGGTGGGAGGTTCTGGGCACGGAGGCCAGGCCGAGACTGAGCCATGGGGTAGGGTCCGGGAGGGACATGGGGTATGTGTGTGCCTGGGGGCGGGGCAGGAGGCTCAGGGTTGGGTGGTCCGAGCCTCACCCCTCTTGTCTCAGGCGCCCCAGCGGGGACCCAGAGAAGGATCTGCGCAGCCCCCTGCTGCCTTACTTCCTGCAGCAGCGGGACATCCTGCGGCGCCGCGTGCAGAGGCAGGAGGCTGAGAACCGGCAGCTGGCAGAGCAGGTGCTGGCCGGGCGCAGGCAGGTGGAAGAGCTGCAGCTGCAGTGCGGGGCGCGGTGGAAGGCCTGGCAGGTGAGTGGGGGGCCGGGCTGCACCTGGCACACAGTCACACAGAGAGTAGCCCCCCTGTGCCCCCAGCACTGTTCTTCTGGGATGACCTGGACCTTTATTTCTTGCTCTCTAGGTTTTTAGGGTCACAGCTGCTGGTGTTGGTGGGGGGGGGATCTGCGGGGGAGTAGGGGCAGCTGCTCCCAGCCCAGCCGAGCCCAATGCTTGGGGCACTCCTGGTGCTCTCCATGCTCCTAATGGTGCTCCTGAGGATTTAGACCTCAGTGTCCTGCAGGCCGAGCACGTGTGCCAGCCTGTTGCGCTGTCCCTGCCCTGACCTGCCTGAGGTGACTGGGGCCTAGCTGGGGAATGGGGGTCAGGCTGGGTGCTGGGCGCAGCACAGCTGCAAGTGGAGCCATGTGGCTGCCAGACGCCAGTGTGACCCCGGGAGGGGCTTCTGGCTCCTCTGTGCTCTCCCCCCGCTCTCTCCTGAGGGCATCAGCACCCCGAGTCCTTGGCTCCTCTTCTCAAATCCCAGAGAGCTGGCTGAGGTGGGCAGTGAGCCGGATGCAGTCTTGGCCCAGACTCTTTGGGGTCAGGTGAATCGGGAATGGCCCCAGCCCCCCGAGGCTACCTCCATCGCTCTTCTCTCAAGGGGAGCAAAGCCCTCGCCCTGCTCTGAGGCTGCCAATCTACGGGGGATCCCAGGGAGCGCCCTCGGCCCACCCCACTGTCCTTCCTATGTTCGGAGCTCGGCTGAAATCACCTCGCTCAAGGGTCTTGAATCTGCGGGAGCCTTCCGCGGGGTCACGACACACGGGGAAGCGGGGGAGAAGGGTCCCAGCCCATCGTCTGTCCGTCTGCACAGGCTCTGCACAAGGAGCAGAAGGAGCTGCTGGCTGTGCTGCGGGAGCCTGAGTAAGGAATTGGACGAGCAGAAGCTTCAAGGTAGAGCCAGTGGCCATGCACAGCCTGGACACGTGGCCTGACAAACAGCAAGGCCTCAGCGTCACGGACACAGAGGGTTGACCCGAGGCCACAGAGGTTCCCACTGGCTTGTACTCTGGGGCCTTGGCCATGCACACCGAGCCCGCCCGGTTGCCAGCTCCCTGGGGAGCTGGGCCCAGTCCCCATCCCACCCTCCCCCACGTGGGGAGCCTGGTTTCAATCTCCTCTGATTGCCCCCTTGCTCGCCAGCCCCGGGCCTGTATCCCACATCTGTAAATAAACTTCCTCCTACACTGTAATCTGTGCGGGCGCTTCCTCCACTGCCTCTGCTTCCGGCCACCAGACCCCTGTCTGCCCCAACTCCCTCTACTCACGGCCCTAGGGCAACCCCAAGAATGCCCCGGGGTGAAGGGGCAGGGTTGGTGGGGCCACACCCCTACAGATTTGAGTCTGGGAGCACACAGGAGGATGTCGGGGCTGTGCCACTCCAGGGAGCCAGTGTGAGTTGGGGGAGCCCTGCAGAAGGCAATGTGTAGAAGCCGAGCCCGGGCAGGGTGGGGTTAAGAGGACAAGTCCCCCACCCAAGTTCACACCAGAGCAACTGCAAGGCAGGAGAGTGGGCACCCCGGAGCGGAAGCCTGCGAACAGCCCTCCCTCCCGGCCTCTTCTCCCAAGGGTGAGCCTGGCACTGCCCCCACAGCTGCAGATCACAGCCTGGGTCCGGCCTCGGGCTGGTTCTGCAGGTGCCCCCGGGAGACTGGCTGGGCTGGGGGTGACGAAGGGGCCCAGGGCAGGGCCCGGCCATGTAATTGCAGCCCACTTCCACCCCCGCTCCCAGGGGCCTGCCCGCCCGCCACAGCCTCAGCCACAACATCCTTTGGGGTTTGGCCTACAAAGCTAGGGCGGATGACCCCCAAATAGCCTTGGCGTAGTCCCTGTGACCGCCTGCACTGTGGCCTGGCGCCCCCTCCCTGGGCACAGCCCCGAGAGTATAAAGTGGCCGGGTTGGGAGCATTGGCAGCCCAGCAGCCTCCAGCAACCATGAAGCCCCTCACGCTCCTCGCCCTGCTGGCCCTGGCCATGCTCTGCTGCACCAGCCAGGCGGGTGAGTGCCCTGCCATGCCCGGGCCGTCTTCCCCTCCGGAGGGTCCAGGGGCAGGGCTGATGGCTCCTTCTTTCCACAGATGCCAAGCCCAGCAGCCCAGAGCCCCGCAAAGGTGCAGGTAAGAGGGCCCCCAGGGGAGCTGACTGCAAACCCCCACCCCACCCTTGGTCCCCGAACCCCCATCCTCACCACTCCTTCCCCATCTGTGCCCTAAATTCATCCCACCCCTACCACAGCCTTCATGACCAGGCAGGAGGGCAGCGAGGTGGTGAAGAGACTCAGGCGCTACGTGGACCCTGGCCAGGGGTAAGGCTGTGGAGCAGAGTTGGGGATGCCGAGACTCCTGCTCGTGGGTGGAGGGTGGCTGGGTGCTAGGCCCGGAGGCTGAGGTCACTGTATCGGGCCCAGAGCCCCAGCCCCCTATCCAGATCCCCTGGAGCCCAAGAGGGAGGTGTGTGAGCTGAACCCGGACTGTGACGAGCTGGCAGACCAGATTGGCTTCCAGGATGCCTATCAGCGCTTCTATGGCACCGTCTAGAGCCTGCGCCCCACGGCCAGTCTCCCTCTCTGCCCCAGACCTATCCCCTGCCCCCTCCCTCACTGCCCCAGACCCACTGCACTCCCGGCCCTGCCCACAGGAATGGGGTCCCTTGTCCCAGTCGCTGTTCCAGAATAAACACCCGAAAGGATTTGGTCGTTGTGAGTCTTTGTCTGTCCCAGAGAGGAGTAGGGTGGAGAGATTTCGCCACTTCAGCCCCAGAAAGTATCGTTTATTTGTTATCTGTTGCTTCCGGAAAGGGGTTTTCCTAAGGTCTGACAGTCCCCATCTGACTCCCAACTGAACCCACACAACCACCCATGCAAGGCCTGGTCACCTGGAACACAAGCTGTGCTAGGACGGATGTGGTGCCCACGGGCCTCTGCACCTGACTTAGTGGCCCATGGAGCCCCAGGACCGATGAGCCATTTCCCCATCCTAGCCTCCAGCCACAACCCACTCACCTCCCCACCGACCCTCGCCACATCCAGCCCCGGCGCTGCCTCTCGCTGTGCCCCCAGCCTTGGCTGCAGGCTCAGGGTGTCCCTACCTTAGCAGGCTGGCGGAAGGCTCCACCCCAGAGCCAGGCCTGGCCTCTGCCTCCCGCCAGCCTTACTGTGGCTTGGCCTTCGCACCCCCCTCCAGCGGGGCCTCCTGCAGCAGAGAGGAGGCCCTGGGTGCCCGGAGCAGGGTCGCTGTGAAGGCAGCGATGATGAGCAGGTTCCCGGTCACTGCCAGGCCCAGCGTGGCCAGTGTGGGCCCTGGGCCCAGTGGGGGCTCCTTTGCGGCCAGCCAGGCCCGGCGCCCACCCATGTCGGCCAGCACTGCCTCCAGCTGGAAGTGGGTGCCCAGCACAGCGCTGATGTGGAGGAGCTGGTGGCTGTGGCCTGCAGGGAGAGGGGGAAGCTCAGCAGAGCCCCGCTCTGTCCACCGGCCGGCGAGGTACTCCCAAGCCTCCCGTGCTGCCTCCCTGGCTCCCACACGGCCCAGGCCTCACCGATGTAGTCGAAGCGCCCGGGAGCCAGGCGCTCGGGCAGATGGGAGGCGAAGAGGAAGCCGGTGAGGCCCGCGCAGAGAAGGTGGTGGCTGTGGCTAGTGCTCAGTGCCTCCTGCCCGCAGCTGGGGGCCCTGCCCCAGCACAGCCAGAGCTGGGGGAACAAGAGCACTCTGGGAGGGGTGGCCGAAGAGGGCCCCTGTGTCCAAGATCCAGTGAGCACTGGGGACTGGGGAGGGGAGCGGGTCTCGGGCCCCTCACCCGATAGAAGAGCGGGAGGTTGTCAAACAGGAAGGGGCAGGCGAAGGCCGCTGAACGCAGGAGCTTGCTGAGCCGGGGGCTCTCCAGCTCTAGGAACCTGGGTGCCAAGACAGGCTGGTTACCTCCTGGGCTGCCGCCAAGGGTGGCCACTGGGGCAGCCCTGGGCCTGTCGGGCAGGGATGCCCTATGACCCCCCTGGCAGAACTGGCCCCAGGGCAGTGCTGCGGATCTGAGGAGCAGACCAAGGTGGAGATGTCTCAGCCATGCCAGGTATCTGCGTGTTTGGGGGTGCGTTGCCTGCCTCCACGCTTCACCTGGGAACCCACCGGGAGTAGCAGGAGAGGCTGGTGCAGAGGAAGGTATTGAGTACAGCAGCTGGTACGAAGAGCTGGTGTAGGCGGCTGTGCAGCCAGGCGACCGGCATGGAGTAGGCTGCGTAAGCGAAGGCACAGCCTGTGGAGAGAGGGGAGCTGAGGCCCAGGCGCCCCACCGCCCCGCCCAGACCCCCACTCGGCCAAGTGCTCACCCAGGCTGTAGAGGCTGAGGGCACCATAGTCCAGGAAATAGCAGATGTGACGCGCACGGGCCGACATGGAACTGAAGGTGTGGGCGCAGCAGGACACCAAGGGGTAGAGGCAGGTGGGCAGCAGGAAGATGAGCAGTGGCCAGTGGTAGGGCTCCGCCTGGAAGCCCAAGCCCCCTGCTAACACCAGGAGACGCCACAGGAAGTACCTGTGGCAGGTGGGCACATGCTCAGGCAACATGTGGAGCCCATGGCAATCCCAGAGCAGCCTCCAGCCCCCACACACAGCATCCCTCACCAGGTGGGCAGGAAGTGAGTCCAGATGTTGACTGTCTCATTAGTCATTTGGAAGGAGCTGAGGACACAGTCCAGAGCCGAGCTGGTGGGGTGCCGGTACCCCGCGATGATGCTATCCTCCCAGAACACCTGTGGTGGGGTTGGGAGAGCACCGTGGGGCCATGTGCCAGGCCCCGACACCTATGCCAAGCCTTTGAAAACAGGACTGAAGCCAAGGACCCCCAAACCAAAAGAGCCCCCAGCCCCCACCTTGCCCAGGGGCCAAAGCTGAGACAGAAAAGCCAGAGTCGGGGAACAGAGGCGTTTGGGGGTGCCAGGGGACACAGCATGGAGGCCACGGCCTGCTGCTCCAGGATCAGAGGGCACTGCTATCAGCTGAGACCCCCTCCCTGTCCCGGGTCCCCTCACCTGTGGCAGCTGGTGTACTTGCAGGAGCTGCGGCAGCTTGAGACTGAGCATGGTGCCCTGTACCTCACGCCAACCTGGAGACAAGATGGGGGTCGGGGTGTGGGCACTTGGCCCCCAGCTGGGTCCTTTCAATGCCCGGCCGGGCCAGGCTGTATGAACAGACTTGCAGGTGGAATTGCTGGCCCAGCCGCACAGCCTCCTGGTGAGCCCAAACTTCTGACCAGGCCCTGCCCGGGGCCTCTGTGGTCCCACACAAGGGGGGCTGGGGGGGCCAAAGCTCAGCGTGGAGCCAGACCCGGCAGCAGTGGCCCCTGTCTCAGTAACCCTGAGCCTCACTCGTTACCTCCCAGCACCCCCATTTCCTTCCCAGAACCCCGACTGCTAGGCCAGTGCCTAGTCAGTCCTGCCACCACAGGTCTCCTGGCCCAAGGCCTGGTAGGACTAGAACACTCATGGCACCCAGGGAGATGCCCAACAAGAGGCTGAAAGTGAGGGATGTCAGCTCTGCCACAAGCCGCCCTCCCGTGCCCCCCAGTCAGGACCTGTGCGCGCTCGGCCTGTCTCTCCAGCCGCCTCTCCCCGGCACATTCCTTGGCACAGGCACAGGGGCAGGGCTAGCAGGCGTTGGAACCGCCACAGGAGGGAGAATCGGACACTCCCCCACCTCCCCAGGCCAGAACTTTCCAGCAGCAGCACAGCCTCGCCCCACCCCTCTTCCTGCCGGCCTCGCCCATCCTTGTTTGTGAGAGTCCAGACTTGCACACCAGTGGGGGCCGTGGGGTGGGAACAGGCCTCTGCCCCTTCGCCCAGCCGACTGGAGGCACCCTTTCCCATCCTGAACTGGAGCCCACAGGTATGTGGACCTGGCCCAGTCCTGCACCTGCCAACCCTCAGTCAGAGTGAGGTGGTGGTATGGAATGCCTGAAGGGGACACGTGGGGTGGCCCTTCCACGTGCCCCCAGCCACAGGGGCGTGGGAGTTGGGGAGAGGAAGCCTTGGGGCTCTCCCCTGCACTGGGGTTCAACTCTCTGGACCATGCTGTAGCCAGGGAAGCCAAGCAGCCTGCCCTGACCATCATCTGTGTCCCTCAGAGCTGCTGACCCCAGAGGGGCTTCCTTACCTGGAGATGGCCGGTGGGCCTAAGCAGGGGGCAGGGGGACCATCAAAAGGCCTGCCTGGGACACCAGGAAGGGCGGGAGTGGGGTTCCTGCCAGCCAGGCTGACCGCAGGGAGAGGAGAGGCGGGCGGGCCAGGCCTGGGCGGGGAGTGGGAGACAAAGGGGAGGCAGGGAACAATCCCAGCCTTGTCCAGCAGCACAGGGTGGCCCTGCCCACTAGCAAGCAGCTCCCTGGGCTCCTGCAGAGGAGGCCAGATGGAAAGGCCAGGCTGGAGCCTGAGACAGGGCGGGGCTCCAGGGTCTCCCTCCCAACAGTCCCAATCCCGAACATGGTGTCAGAGGCTGCCTGGCGAGGCTGGCAGTGTGGGCACCTGCTGGACAGCCCCAGGTGAAGGCCTCTGGGAGAGGCAGGGCCCCTGCTGGGCCAGCCGGGATGCATCACCCGACACTCTGGTGCCAGTGCTCACAGGTCACAGCGTGGACACAGGCTGACCCATCACTGCACCCTGAGCAAGAGGCCCCAGACAGCTCCCGCTGGTGAAGGCGGTGCTGGAGGGCCGTCCCCATCATCAGGTGGAGACACCTCGGCACAGGGCCACCACGCAGCCTCTCCAGCACGCAGTCGCAGTCGCAGCCCCAGCCCCAGAGAGGCACGGCAGAGAGGCAGCAGACAATGAGTGGGCTCTGGGAGGTCTTTATTAATGATGCTTCAGTCTCGGTCTGGGTCGGGGACGAGGAGTGGTGCCCCCCAGGAGTCCCAGGCGTGCTGCCTCAGAGGAAGGAAGCGGGGAGCCCGTTTCTGGGCACTCGGGGGTGTGCGGCTTGCACTGGGCTGGCGGAACAGCTGAGCCCCAACCACAGTTGGGTGGGGAGGGTCCAGGCGATCCTGGCCCAGGCCTCCCCTTTGCCCGCTCCTGTACTGCCCTGAGCTCTCCATTATCTCGGCTCCCACCACCCACCTTGGTGCTCCGAAAGCCAGTCCTGGGCTCAGCCCTGCAGGCTCTGTCCTGGGGAGGGTAGACGTGGGGCCGCACCTCAGGGCAGAGCCCCACACCCCCAACAGGCAGCTTCCAAGGGCTTCTCCCACCTGTTACCAGCCCAGACAGTAAAGGGAGCTGCACCCCGTCTACTCTGCCCGGCACAATAACCCAGGTACACAGTGACTGGGGCTACAGGCCCTAGAGGCCAGACTGCTCCGCCCTTGGGGCCTGTCCTTGTCCAGATGCTGACAGTCGGAGGACATGAGGCGATGCCCGCAGCAAGACACGACAAGCTCGGCCCCACTCCGGGGTGGGCAGCTCTGGGCCCCTCTTCTGATTCCCCACGGCCCCAGAGTGGCCCAGTCCCTCCCTGGGAGCTGCGAGGAAGACGGGGGTCCTGGAGAAGGGGCTGCAGAGGAACCCCAGACTCCTAGTGGACTCTCCCGGGGCCCAGAGGCTTCGCGCCTGGCCCCACCCACCTCCTGGGTGACAAGGGCCCATCCTCTGGGCCCTGGGCCCCCTCCTGCTGCGGGACAGCAGGGGAGTGGGGGCAGGAGGCTGGCCACTCGCTTGAGCACTTTCCTCGTTCCTGCGTCCTGGCAGCGGGCCCCGCCCTCCCCATGCTCCTGCGCCCTCCCCGCCTGCACGTGCTGAGTCTGCGTGTGGGGGTGACGACGGTGGTGTCCTGGCTGCCAGAAGGGCAGGAGAGGTCTGGAGTCAGCCCCACGGCAGGGCCTGGGGGTCAGTCTCAGCCCATCTCCTTCCACTGCTTGTACAAGTCCAGAACGTTCTTGATGTCCACACTGGCATGTGCAGCGGCCTGCAGGGCTGCCTGTGGCCGGGAAGAGGGAGTGGGCGCAGGTGAGACCCAGGCCCTGCCGAGGACTCCTCCCCACCCTGTCCTCACCCGACTCACTTGCATGGGGCCTGAGAGCGCGCTGGGGTTGTCCAGAGGAAGGCCTGTGACGATGGTCACCATGCCACTTGGGTCCTCCTCACCTGCTCCCTGGGCCAGAGTCAGCTGCTTACAACTGTCCAGGATCTTATAGAGAGCCCTGGAGGGGGAGGTGCCAGCCAGAGTCAGCCACCATACCTGCATCTGGCAGTGTCTGCGGGCGGGTGTGGGAGGAGCCTGAGCCCCTGAGGACCCCCCCCCCCAAATATGAGGAGATGGCCGTTGAGGGGCTGTGGGTGAGGCTGGCACTCACCAGGCATCGGCATCCTGCCTCTTCAGTTTATGCCGCTCAAAGCTCTTCCCCACCTCTTTTTGGCAACGAATGTACCTGAGGAGGAGTGGGGAGTGTGGGGTGGGTAGGCACAGGGTGTGGGTGTGGGTGTGTAGGGACTGCACTCCCCACCCCAGCAGCCCATTGTGGAGCAAGGCCTGGATCCCCAGGGCTCTGTGGGGCCCCCTGGTTTCCTTTCGCTGATAGCATCAGGGCCCGCTCCCTTGGGCTCCCAGGGATGCTTTTCAGCTGGCTCCTGCTCCTGAGGCGGAACAAGCAGGGTTTGTGCGGCTGGAGGCTGCTGCAGGAGAGCAGGCCCCTCTCCGGCCCTCTGCAGAGGCCTCTTCTGACCCAGAGGCCACAGGAAGGGCCTGACCGAGCCTCGGGTGATTCTCTGAGGGTGTTCCTGCCTGGGAAAGGTCACCTGCCCAACACTACCCCACCCTGGCGTCGGGAGTCTGTGTCCCAGGGAGGCTGATCTCAGGGGTGCCTGCGGCCACGCCCCTCCAGGCACTCACCTGTTTCCTTTCTTAAACTCAGCCTCCAGGTAGCGGATCCCATCTCGGGCCCCCGGGTGCTCCTTCTTGAGCAAATCCAGACCATCAATCACTGGGGACAGAGTCAGAACAGGGCAGCTCAAGTTCTGCGCAGTCTCAAGGCACCCCGCCTCCGCCCGTGAAGTCCCAGCAGCGGAGGGTTCTCTGCTGCCTGGTGAGTCGGGGCCTAACTGAGCCAGAGGGGCCCGTTTCAGAGGGGGAGGTGGAGGCTTCGTGAGGATTAGCAGCTCCAGAGAAGAGCCAGCGTCTGTCCGTCATTCCACCTGTCCCTCCACACCCAGAGGCTCACCTGTCCTCGGAATGATGACAATGAAGCGGCCGCTGGAGGCCAGCTGGCGGATGATAGGCAGATGGTGGCAGAGGGCCTGGGTGTCAGGGACGAGGTAGGGAGACATCGCTGTCTGGGCCTTGGGCTGCTGCAGGCTCCCTTCCAGCTGAGAGACTTCGAGCTGGTGAGAGGAGGGGGAGGGGTGGGGGCCATGGGGACCCTTGCAAGGATGGACTAGAGCCAAGGGCCCCCAGGCCAAGGAGACAGACTGAGGGTTGAAGAGAGGAGGCGGCAAGGGAGGAAGGCTGTGGGTAGCAGGGGGGGCGCCTGGAAACGGGGGGGGGGGGGGGGGGGAGGGTGGAAAGCTAGCCTGCCGTAAGGCCCAGCACCCCGGCAGAGAGCGAGGGAGAGCAGAGCAGTGCGCACTGGAGCCCCTACCTGGAGCCGCAGCTGAGCCATGTCCCGCATCAGCCTGTTCCGCCGAGCTTCCTCCTGTGCCTGGGGAGGGAGTCAGGAGCCACGTCTGGGCTGAGGAACTGGTGGCGCCACCCAGAGTGGCCCGAGGGCAGGTAGGTCCCCTCAGGAGTCTCCTGCTCGGCCAGGGCAGCTAGTTTGGTCCTGGGGCGCAGTGGGAAGCTGCCACCTGAACTGGGAGCACACGCTGCTAGGCTGCCTCCAGTGTCTCCTCCCCAAGTTTCCGCGTGCAGCTGCCTGGCTCTTCCCAGCTGTGTCCCCCTCGGGAGACCACCCGCCAACCCCCTTGCCAGCCACCGCCCCCCGTCTACCTGCGAACCTCTTCCTGACCTGCAGCTGCCACCCAGATCTGGCCACCCACTGCCCCAGTCTCCCACGGTGCCCAAAGCTGAGGCAGGCTGACAAGACAAGGGGAGCCACTGGGGTTCTGATGAGTGTGGAAGAGCTTTGAACTATGACCTCAGAGGTGGCTCTTCGGGCTACACACAGGGTCTGCAGGAAGGAGGCCCGTGGCCGGGCCGAGCCATGAGTCCTGCAGGA